GAGAGAGAGGGCTTCTCAGAGACCATGGTGTCCACTGGGCGAGCACAGCCAGCGATTCCCAGTAAGAAGCACGTTGTGATCAGCTTTCTTTCTCCAGAACTAATGAATGAAGGGTGGGCCCTTTATGGGGAGGGGGGGGGGTATTCAGGCTGTCTGGCCCACATGACGCAGCCCCCCCCACTTCACACATCTTATTTATTTATTTCCACCCAGGCTCTGTAGGGAGACTCTCCGTCCTGTGGAAGGGAGACGAGTGGGTTTTATCTCCCGGAGGCAGCAGGAAAGCGGCTGACTAGGGCCCGGCGGTGCGGCGAGTGGTGTTACCCAGACACGAGAACCACACCATAGGCAACGAGAGCGCTGCGCCTGAAGGGGCAGCCCCCACAGTCATAACTCCAGCCTCAAAATTTAAGAGAACAACCGCAACACCATAAAGAGGACCCCCGCACCCAAACCTGAGAAGGGAACGAGAGAAGCGGGGGACCGGCCCGTGAACGTCACCCAATGTGGCCGCATCGCGAGAAAAGCTGGCCTTCAGAGACGAACTCGCAAATAATGGCCCCATCGTTCTTGGGGAGGGGGGAGTGAAAGCAAATTTCCAAGTAATCGCAAAATGAGATCAAATCGTTAGCAGAGGCCGGCGAGGCCCTCGTTCGATGGGAGATGGGGGCTGTAATGCACGGCTTCGCTAATAGTCTATCATGGGCTTTAAAGACCAAGCTGAAAAACTGGATTTGTGAAGAATCTATTTTAAAAGACACAAACGACCGCGGGGGCAGCAGAGAGCACCGCTCTCTGTCGATAATGAAGCTGTCGATAATGAAGCAGACGTTTCCATGGAAGGAGACGCTGTTATGATACATGGATTAGACAGCGATGTATTACTATGCTTTTAGGTCTAGGCCACTTTATGCCTCTGGCTTTCTGCCGTGACTTCTGAGGCAGCGGACGACTTGAACAAACGACATGAACGGTATCCGCATCTCACAAGAGCAAGATAATTTCGGCAGGTGGTGAGACGTCCGAATGTTTTGGACGGGCCCGGACGGGCGATCAAGTCGCGCCTGATCCAAGATTCGTCACGATCGGGTGTCTCGTGCTCCGAGACAGTCGGAGATGCTACCCATCACCTCCTAACTACTCAATTAAAAACATCAATCAAAGGATAAGGCACCTACAAGGATTCCAAACCTCTACGCCCTGCAGTTAATAAACGCCGTGCTCCTCGTGAAGGAAGCCCTGGCTGCACGCAGCACATGTAATTAACCAGTAATTGAATCAATCAAGTCAGGACAAAAGAGCAAGATTGAAAACTACACGCACCACACACCCAACGCACCAGAGCCACACGCATGGGACGAGCGCAGCGAGAATGCCGCAAATGCAGGAGCGTCATCGGCGGGGAACGTGACGGACGGAGATCCCCATTAGACCGATACGGCATGTTCCGGGGCCCCCGCGAAACCGGCGCGGTGCCTCGCCGAGCCTTCTGAAAGCTGCTTATTAAAACCCGCGTCAATGATGCTGCCCGGAATCAGATTCCCAGAGGGAAAAAGAGGATTTTCGCAGCTTGCGAAGAAGCTATTGTGGATATCTGAGGGATAAGAGTGAAAAAGGAGCCCTTTTCCCTTTCATCTCATACATAACAATGAACCCCCCCTCCCCTCCCCTCCCCTCCCCACCCACCCCCGCGTCTCCCCGACGGATGCAAACCAGCGTTGACTCACTCACTTGCGTCTTCCCTAGGAGAGCGTACGCCAGCTGAACTTTGTTGTAGTGAGTGACATCAAAGTGCTTGCAGGTCTTTGACAGGGCGACATCCAGCTGCTCCTGGATGGAAGAAAGTGTTCAATCGGTAAGAGGGTGATAGATGTGCAAGATTACCCCCCCCCCACCCAAAAATATGGTCTCAATTCCCACCCTCAGCCTAGCTGTAGGCCCCTAAGAATGGATTTTGTCCGCTTTCCTCGGGTAAAATAAGCAGCTGTACAGATGGGTGAAATGACAATGTGATCCACATATGCTGTATCTCACAGGAGTCTCACATGGAAAAGTTACACGGATGAGTCATAACTGGCCTATGTGTGGATCAGCCTCCCATCGGACCCACAAGTCCCACAAAAACAAGATGCAGGCCTGGATCGGGCCCTCTGCAGTCCTCACTAACCCGAGGGGTGTTAGAACTCTACAGGTGATGCAATAGTGAGCGTGATTCGTAAATGAACGCAGAGAGGTTTGAATCCTGCCCTGGGTGGTGTGTGTGAAGCAGGCATGTCCTCCTCATGTCTGGTGGTTTGGGCTTAAAAGAAAGATCCGAATCACCGAGGAATGGAGCGGCGAGAGGGAAAGGAAGGTTACAGGCAGGAGAAGCCGTACCTCTATCTGCTCCAGGGTGTCCTGAAGCTTGGAGTTCAGTTCACTGTGGAAACAGAGAGAAATCAAACCCAGTAGTGGGAATACATGAAACTCACATCAAATGGAAAGCTGATACGTTTTCAGTGGGACCTCAGAAGATGGATTGGTCTTAAAGGGCCAGAAGGAGGGAGAGGAGGGGAGGAGGAGAAACAGGGAGAGGAGGGAAGAGAAGAGGAGGAGGGGAGAGGAGGAAAGTAGTGGGAAAGGGCAGGAGTGCACAGTAGAAGAGGAGTGAGAGGAAATGAGGAGATGAGGGAAGAGCAGGTGAGAAGGAGAGGGGGAAAGAGGAATGGAGAGGAGGAGGGGAAGGGAGGAGTAGAGAAAGGAAGAAGAGGGGAGGGGAGGATAGGAGGAGAGGATGGGAGAAGGAGAGTAGAGGTGGGGGAGAGGGGCAGAGGGGAGGAAAGTGGAATAGAAGAGAGGTAAGGAAAGAGGGAGTAGGAGAAAAGAAGAGAGGTGGAGAGAAGAGGGATGTGTCCGTGAATTGAAACGATCCAGTGAGCTGGGACTGGTTTCTGATGATGGGAGAGCTGGGACCGCAGAAGCACCAGGGAAACCTGATGTTTCTGAGCAGCCTGGCCACTAACAGCGGGGGTGGGAATCGGCACCTTGCTGGATTTACCCAAATCTCCTCCCATCTCGTGCCACCCGTCAAAAAGGCAGGCAAGCTCCATGCTACACACAGAACTCTCACCCCGTAACCCTTTAACAATCCCCAACACCCCCCCAAATGTCGTCTTCCCAAAAATCATCAAGAGGGGCAATGCACCAAGGCACGCCACAGGTGTTCATTACCCACAAGCCCCTGCTGCAAACGGCGGCAGGCCCTGCGGAGCACGACGGCATCTGGAAGAGTGCGATATTCTTTGTTCATTGTTTTTTTAAATACGCGTTAACAGGTTTGTGGTGCGTTTCCGGCTCTCAACTACAATTGGGTGCAGATCCCAGTCACTGTCTGGTGAGTTTTCCAGAGACCCTCCAGAAAGTGGAAATTTTCCCAAGGAATTCCCAGCATCCTTCAAAGAACCACCCCAGTGACTATAACAAGACTACATTTGTGATCACAGGTGCTAAACTGACCACCAAGCAAAAATACCACTCAGGAAAGTCACCAAAAATGTATCAAGACCATAAAGACCTAAAGTGTGCAGGATGCAGGGACCTCTGGCAGGTAATTTATGTCACATCTTTATCAGAGACAATGTCATGAGATATTCATTTCTCCCAGTGACAGCTGCCCACCTCTTACAAGAGCAGGGAGCGTTTTCCGCACCTTGCAAAAAACAGTCCCACGCAAAATCTCCCCACGTCTCGCTTGACCCACTTCAGATGCATTTAATCTCGTTTAACAGGCAGACACCAACATATAATCCCACAGGAAGCGACAGGCACCTGGACCAGCTATTGCTAACGCCTCCTGGGGCTTGTGCACTTTGTTCAATCTTTTGACAGCAGAAAGCCCTTCTTAATGCCGACTGTCAGAATGGGAGCAGTGACTCGAAGGGACACCAGCTAGTATCTGCTCTGTGGCTCCTCCCAGAGGCCAGCTGGAAGAAGACCAAGCTTTTTCACTGGTAACCAGTAAGCAGCAGACAGACAAGCGACAGCATGTGACCAGGACATGTCTGCACACAGTGGGCAGGTTTTACCCCAAATACATTCACGATCAAATACGTCTCCATCCAAAAGATGCTGAGCTGCCTTCCAAATGCAGAGGAGCCTAGAATCTCCAGCACAGACGGTCCGGCGGCCCACAATTCGAATGCGCAGAGGCGCTGGTCGCTGACAGTCGACACGGCGTGGAAACCGCAAGGAAGGCGAGCGGAGGTGTCTCGAGACGATCCCACGGCCGCCATTCAGCCCCGGCTCAGGGACCCGCACCGCAGGTCCAGGGAATAACGCAGGTCAATAGTTTGGAAGCTAAGGCCCTTGAAAGTGTCGTTTCCCCTCAATAAACCCCCCTGCCCCCCTGCAGCATTGACTAATAACTCCCAACTGTGAATCGATAGAGAGGGACAGGTCCTGCCCACACTCAGGGGGGGGCGGAGGCATCCGCGGAATTGAGGGAGCAGGGGCCACACCGTGTGTCAGGAGGCACCCACACACCCCGACACGAAAGCAGCGAGGAGCGGACAGCAAGCGGACTGACATGACAGTCTAATTTAAAAGCTCAGCGATTGTTCTGTGGCCCGTGACACTGAAGGCGGCATCACGCTTTTACTCTGCCATCCAGACACAAAACAAAATGCCCATTTCTTTCCCAGCATCTTCTCCACTTCAATCGAAGGCCTCTTATTTGCAAAAAAGGTAAATCCACCCCCCACCGAATTCTTGAATCCGCACACCATGTATGTGTGGATCGAAACACAAAACACACCCTCCACATACACATATGCACGTTGTGGCTGAGGGGAAATAATGCATTTTATACAGGTTCAGAGACAAGAATCCACGCCAAGTCTGTTTCCACAGGGCTGCAGCCAAATCCTACAGTCGAAGCGTTTAATGCGTGACGAAAAAGGGGGGCTGCACGTCTCCAATTCACGGAACTCCTCAAAGGATCGCGCCAGAAAAAGAAAGGAGGGGGTGGAGGACAAACAAGTCTTCTGCAGACACGGTCATGAGCGGCAGCAGATTTTTT